AACAATAGAGATAATGGTACTATATATATATATATATATATATATATATATATATAACGTAGGCTATACCTTTATTTAAAACCGCCGTTTTAGCATAAAGCGCAGCAATAATTTTACACTAACGTTACGTGTTGTGTTTATTGTCGGTGTAGTGAACGTCAACGATGGGTTCGGCTCCGAAAACGGCACACACGGTTCTTTTGAGTGTCATTATAAGCTGGATGGCCGTCGTTTCTGGCCGCAGTCCACGCACGGTGGATCAGGTGTCGGAGGCGGATATCCAGCGCCTGCTGCACGGTGTGATGGAGCAGCTGGGAATCGCGCGGCCCAGGGTCGAGTATCCCGCGCACCAGGCCACCAACATAGTCGGCCCGCTCAGCATCCAAGGTAAGAGTTTCTCTGTATAATTGTAGGTAATTACACGTTTTAAAAAATTTAAATGATCACTGATGGTCCTTATAATAGCCTACTCCTCATTATGCGCTTGCCTTCATGTGTAATTTTACACTTTGTCCAATAGGTGGTGCCCATGAGGGACTCCAGCATCTCGGGCCGTATGGGAACATCCCTAACATTGTTGCAGAGTTAACTGGAGACAGTGTTCCCAAAGACTTCAGCGAGGACCATGGCTACCCTGACCCTCCCAATCCTTGCCCTCTTGGAAAGAGTGGTATGTTGGTCCAAATGTAACTGAATGCACAAATATACAGCAGTGCCACCATTTAATAAAATTCAAATGGCCTAAACATTTTTTGTTTAAAAAATGTGATGTTTTTATAGCTGCTGATGGATGTTTAGAGAACTCTCCAGACACTGCAGAGTTCAGTCGAGAATTCCAGAAACATCAGCACATCTTTGACCCTGAGCATGACTACCCTGCACTCGCGAAGTGGGTGAGTTCACACTTGTCACCTTGAAAAAAGCTGGAGGAGATTACTGATTTTTCATTTAAAAAAAATGATTGATTAATTTAAGGGCTTTAAATTAAATTAACCAGGATTCTGGTCTGTAGCAGACTGCACTAAATATCTATTTTCATTCTTTCAGAATAAAGGTCTGTTGTATGAAAAACTGAAGGGTGGGCCGAAAAGAAGAAAAAGGGTAAGCTATAAATATATTTTTTTCTGTGCCTTTTGGTTGCTTCTTTGTCAGTAGAGGCTCAAACGCATAAATTAGATGGAGCACTGTTGCATATTTTCAGAAAAAATGTCACAGGATCCGTCACTGACTGTGTTTCAGAGTGCAAATCCATATCTGATGGGACAGAGGCTGGATAATGTGGTGGCCAAGAAATCAGTGCCACATTTCCCAGAGGAAGATGAGGTTGAAACTGCTACAAGCAATATCAAGACCTGAACATCGTGTTATTTATAAAATCTGTACAATGAAAATCTTATCAGTTTCACAGTAAAGTCAGCATTAAATTATGTGCGATATTCAAATGAATCATTTTATTAATAGAGCAGCAAAGGGTGAATGTAACATGAATGATTATTCTCTTGACACAACTTTTGTTGTAATACCATTTAATCAAATAAAAGTGAAGTATATGTTCATGTGCAGATAATTGGAGACATGTATTTTTAACTTCATGATTCATCTAAATTACAAACATCACAATATGCATTCATCATGAGCTTCCTTACTCTCCTGAAGCACTGGACCATCCCCAAAATGCTGTGAATGATCTTAGACTGAGAGGAGGCGTGGACTGCCCCATTCTCTTAAATGTCAGCACTCAGAACAGAGCTCCAGACCTTATTTTGAATCTGACTACGAGTTCTGTATCATTTGTTTCAACCTATTATTAATCGTAGTTTGTTATGGTGCACAAAGACCTTTGTGAACATAGCTGCAGTCCATGTGAAGAAGTTTGAACCATTATTAATCTGAGGTAAGTCTGCATATCTACTGGAGTATAGCCTATTTGTATTTATTTTTTAAATGACATCTGTGTGATTGTTTTTAAATGTGTTTATAGAAATGAGGGATTGCAGAGGGCAATTGGCTCAAAAGTTTGTAGGGAATGTATATAAAAAATGTAAATGTGTTTAAATGATTGTGAACTTTATACACTATACGCTTTGAAATATTGTACGTTTGGTTGTTGTGTTCATTTTATATGTATATGAAAAGTTTGGATATGAAAAAATAACTAGGCTACATATATTACTGTATATTTAATGGTATCTTTCTTTCTTCATGTGAAAGGATGACTAAAGACGCATTAGCTGTCACTATCGCGGTCTTGTGGCTGCTCTGCAATCCGGCGAGGATCAGGGGAACCGGGGGATTTCAAGGCGCCATTCCTCACCCAAATAAATACAGCCCAAACCAGTCGGAACAGTCACCGCAGACACCGCAGGCCAGTTCCAGGGGAACGGGACCGCCTTCAGTCGGGGACGAGGTGCTGGACTCCAGCCAGGAGGCTTTACACGTAACGGAGCGCCGTTACCTCAAACTTGACTGGTGTAAAACACAGCCGCTGAAACTGATGATCTACGAGGACGGGTGCCAGCCGCGCGCCATCATCAACCGCTTTTGTTACGGACAGTGCAACTCATTCTACATCCCTCGGCACGTTTATCAAGAGGACAGTGCGTTTCAGTCGTGCTCCGTGTGTAAGCCAAAGAGTTTCACTACCGTTACTTACACGCTCTTCTGTCCCGGACAGACTCCCAGCACCAAGAAGAAGCGCATGCGCCGCGTCAAACAGTGCCGCTGTACTTCTGTCGACTTGGATTAAATTTGCTGACGTCTTTGTTTGTAGGCTACTTTTGTCTAAAAGTCACAAATTCATATGGCTGAAAAATGTGGGAGCATGATCGATTTGTTTCCTCCATCATTAGTTGTTCAGCCATCAAAATGAGGCCTTTATATTGTGAAGAAATACAATTGATGCAATTAAATGAATTATAAAACAAGTTGGCCAAGTTATAATACTATAAAATAGTGACATATTAAAAAATATGCTTATATCATTATTATATTCTCCACTGTGTGGAGCACGATTTGCGCATTGATGCAAATAGCTTATTTTGTGGCTTGATTTGTAATGTGGGATACATTAAATATTAGGCTATGGATGTAAATAAGCATTCCCC